TATATATATATATATATATATATCGGACGAGTGTTTAGAACTGATAAAATTCGACCTACCAATCTCGTATTCTCGGATATAGGCCACAAAAAACCACTCGTGAGAATTTTTTTTCCTTCGATTATGTCCCTTGATGAGGAAAGCGAGGTGGAGATGTTTCCCAGGCGCAATTTCGACCAGTCCGTGACTATTATCAACATCATCATTGGCAGCCGCGTGAAGTACCGTTACATAATCTGTGTCCTCGCTCATATACATTTTGTCTGTCCACTCATTCGTCTTATACAACGATGAAATGTATTCCACCATGGTTGGGTCAGCCATGAGAATTCCGTCCACAATGGCCAGTTACAGAAATTGCACACCCAGGTCACCACATTCCACTTGTTGATCGTACAGACTCTCAAGAGTTCGCTTAAGTTCTGATTTTCCCTCGTTAAAGAATGGAATGACGAAACTGACCACTGTTTCTTTTTGACGCGTACGCGGTGGGAAGTATTTGCAATTTTTCAAGGGTAGTAGTGTGTCGTAGTTGGTGGCAACTGCATAGCTACGTGGCGATGGCCTCGGTCGAACGACTGGCGGTGACCTTCTGTAAACATCACACGAAGATTCATCCGACAGTGGAGGAGATTGGGAAGTCGGGTAAAGCGACATCTCTTCTACACTTGAAGTGAGCATTTGCTATGTGATTTTGGAAGCAAAGGGGACGCGTAAATAGCGCGGCAAACAATTATCAATACTTTTAATAGAGTGAATACCTGCGTTGTGATTCTCCTGATCGGTACATGGTGCTTTTATATGTTAGAAGTTCCGTTCCAGTCATCTACATCTCAATCCCAATCGCCTATACGATTTACCTGCATCCAACAACTGATTCGAAGCATCCTGGTAGGCCCGAAACTGCCGCCCATTGGCCCTGACCTCCTTCAGCAACTACAGGAGTGCCACGACGTCCACGGTATCTGGACCCTCCACGAACACCTTGGATCTTTTCTCCTGCATGTTGAAGAACCACCGTACCCTCACCCGTCCCTGACACATCAACAGATGTTCCCCATACCCCGGCTAGTCACGCTGTTGAAGTACAACTTCCAAATATCTGTTCAAACCAAATCATCGCGCTTGTTGGTTCCGACTATGATACTTCCGATCCCGGCCAGCCAACACATACCGAATTCATCCGTAGTCTGGTGCGGCATTGGCTTACCCCCATCCTCGCTTCTCGACCGGATTATGACGGATAACCTGGTCCTTCTCGGTATTTCGTACTCTGCACTAACCTATTCCGCGGCACTACACGGTGCAGACCCGATCCGTACCACAGAGGTGGGTACTCTACTTAGTAGGTCAGCAAGCGAATATATGGAACATTCGATAGTAACAGTGTTTTGTCAACATCGGCCCGAATTGACTCAGCACATATCTTCCATTGTCGACTCACTTGGCCCAAGCTTCAAACGGGAATTTACTGACCACTTCTTCCCATCAATCTTTCCTAAACCACTACAGCGACTATGAGAGCCATACCAAATGTTCATACATTGTATCATACATACTTGCCATTTTTGAAATAAATAATTTTATCCCTATACGATAAGTTCCTCCATTTTTGCACACGATGACCTTTTGTTACTACAAATAAAATAAAATAGGAAGCACACTATCAACACTTTTTTATAAAAAATATACTACACTTATGAAGAAAATCACAAGTGTTGGGAACTTGGATTCTCAAATTCGAGAAAATATATTCGGTCAATACCAATACATAAATAGTCCGATCAGACATTTCTTCTCCACTACTATAGAGAGGGTCATGAATATGTAAATACAAGAACTCTAACAAAATATATTTAAAAGTAGACTGATTAGCATAAGTAGCCCCCTCGCTCCCCTGCTACTGTTTTTATAAATAAATATTTAGAGGTAGCATTTATCGTTTTAGACCCCGAAACCGACAACGGCTAGTATGTAAATATGTAGTTATGTCAGTATGTAAATAACAGATAACTGGGCAAATTCAGCTCATATTTATTTTATCTACAGCCGGTCACTGGGGTCACTGTAGTGGCAGTCTAAAATATATATAAAAGCAATCGAACGCAGCCTCGCAACCCACAGCCATAGGTCGCAGATTGTTTCGGGCCTCCAGGCTCCAGCCCGCAGCCCGCAGGAACGATTTTTTGCAAGTGTTGTTCTTCGGACTTGTCCATTCTCCCTTTAAAAAAAATTCCACTTCGAAAGTTCTAGAGGGTCACGATGTGTTTCACAGTTTTATTCGAGGAGACCGCTACAAATGATGGATTTATAATAATAATAGTAAAATAAAAATTTCATATTTACCTCTCCTCTCAGTTTTTTTAGTAAAAACAATTCAGCAGGGATAATAGTCACCACTAGCTACTCTACTAGCTACTAGCTATTTAGCTAGTGTAGCTAGCCTCTCACTCTCTCTGAGGGTATTTAGAGCAAAGCCATAGCCATCGAAACTTAAAAATTTATACTGTTACATATCATGATTCATGATTCAATGATTCATGACCCTCCTCTCTCTCTCTCTACTATAGTACTACGAACTACGTGCTACTAAATACTACTACTCTCTACTAGAGTAGACAGAGAGAGCAGTAGAGATTAGAGTCCCGACTCTCTCTACCACTATTCTAGTAGTAGTAGAGAGAGAAGAGACGGAGTGAGAGAAGTGAGAGAGAGAGAAATAACTGTTAAGGCTTATGCCTTCTTGTCCGTCAGATGGCCGTGATACATATTTAGGTGTTAAAATACATATCAGTAGCAGCTATACATATGTTTTTTTAAAATTCTAAAATACTACATAAATACTTAAAAAATAGCGTTTGATTTTCAGAAGGCTATGTGAATTGTGATATCAATTACTTATCAATGTATCATAGTCCTATTTTTTCCATAGCCTTCTAAACAAAATTAAACATTTTTATGAGCACTACTATTGTCCCATCTTCAGAAGGCTGCTATGATATATGCTATAAATAGTAAAATATTTTAAAAAATGAATAAATAAAATCTGGAGGGAGCTAAAAACTTTGGTGATAAATTCATAAATATTACCGTGATAGTGTGACTGTTACTATGTTACACTTACAATGTCACGTCCCACACTCCAACAGGCCACGTCACTACATACAGTAATAAAATTTTAAAAGGTTTTTCAAATGTTTTTGTTCCTTCTCTCTCTTCTTGTTGGAAGTTGGAATTTGGAGGTGTACTTCTTTTCTGATTTGTTTTTAAAAACAAACAGTATTTTTAATGGTCCTAAAAAAACTTTAAAAAAAGTCTTTTTTTTAAACAAAACCCCTTTATATTTGTTTTTTTAAACTAAAAATCCATATCCATACGTTCGGCATTCTGTCAGACGTCAGTCTGTCATTCGAAAAGTTGACTTTTTTTAATTCTTGCCATGCAGCCGGAATAAAAAATTGATAAAGAAAAAAAATAGACATCCGTGTGCAAGTATTTACTTTATTTTTATTTACATTTTACTTCTTGTGACTTGTGATTCACGGACGTTTTTTCTTCTTTGGCGACAGACAAGAAATCGGCGAAAATGTCAATAGGAAGTTTTACTAAAGACAAGCTTACGCTTCCAGTGATAAACCATGCCTTCTATATATGTAAAAAGGTATGTGAATGTTTTTGTTTGTATTTATATATTTATAGAGTGCTATTTATCATCAATGCAGCATACATAGCTTCTATTTATCAGCAATTCAGCATAATACAATTCTGAAAATTGAAAATGGAACAGTATCACTTTATCAGCTATGTAAGGCGGTTCGGATGTGCTTCCGTGGGTTAGAGTTTATTTTAAGCCGAAAATGGTAGGGGGGGGGGGGGGGGGGCTTATGACTTATAATATTGACCTGACCCTGCTCAGGATCACCAGAAATACGGTTTCAACTGCTCAAGCTACTTTATTATGAAGTACATACTACTAACTAAATACGTTTATTAAGTGTTGGATAATCTACAGCGATTGGCAGGCAAGCTGCGCCAAAAAGAAATTGTCCAATAACCACCGGCCCAGTATTGTTTCTTTCTGAATTTTGGGCTGGCGCAGGGCCCAAATAACGTATATGCGTACAACAGATTAAGTCCAACATGTGTCTCAAGTCCAAAAATACAAGGGGGGGGGGGGGGGGCCTAAAACACGGAAGCACATCCGAACCGCCTAAATTAAACAAATATAAAAGTATATATTATAAAAATATGTCTAAATATTGTGATATATAAAAAAAGCATGTCTGTTATAAAACTTTTATGTATTTTTAGAAAGATACTATGAATTTGCTTCTATTTTTATAATAATAGTAATATTATTATGAACATATTGTTTTTATATTAAATAAAGTAATAGATGTATCAGACATGAGTCCATGACCCTCTACTTATTTACTACTCTCTCTACTCTCTCTCTCTCTTTCTCTGTAGAGATAGAGACTACTCTACTAGAGAGCGAGAGAGAATAGAGACTAGTCAGACTACTACTCCAGAGTAGAGAGAGTATATTTATATACAAAAGCCTGAACGGTAAAACCCCCTTTTTTTTTAAACGTCCGCACTCCGCAGGACTATCAAGTATCAGTTATTATAGAGACATAGACTAATACCAGTTATCTATGTGACTCATGAATCACGACCCCCATATTTAGATTTTACTTTAGAGATAATTAGTAAATACATATATAAATAGAAGCTACCACTCAGAGACTCTCGAGAGTAGCGAGAGAGAGTAAAGCCAAAGGAGCATACATAGGGATTATTTATTTTTTAACACGGCCAATATATAGAAAGTTCATGACTCACGAGTGTCACGACACATACTTACTTTTTTGTTTTTTTTAAAAAGACCAAAGAAATTTATTTATTTTACTTTTTTTTTAAATCAAATAGTTGTGACAATATAAAAAAATGATTAACTAAAATAAAAAAGGTTTCGATAGTAAAAATGGCGTCGTCCGAATGTGAGGTTGGACGCTAAAAGATTCCCTGGCTATCCATTTTGAATTTTATAACCCTCCTTCTCTACTGATTATAAAGTGATTGTGGATCTATGGTGCTCGGTAATTAAAATATATCAGTGATACTGATGTTTAAAATCACCGAACAATCACGATTCACTGCCCTCAGGGTACAAGTCGGGTCAAATAGCATATTAGTCGAAAGTGTATTGGATAATTGCGTGTTCGCACGAATTGCCTTTTGACCGCATCATCTCGAGTGCCATGGAACAGGAACAATAATATTTTTAACTTTTTATACTATCTCTTGTGATTGTCAAATGTGAAATTCTGAATGCAGTCGGAAAAAAAATTATGATGGGTGGCAAGTGGCACGTGGCAACTGAACTGGCGTCAGGCAAGCCGCAAGCCGCGATCGAACCCCATGATACAGACAATGTCTCTGTATGGCACCAATGTACATAAAAATAATAACGCCTGAGCCGTGTCTAAACCGCATCCGATACATCCGCAAAGACAGGGTCGATATTTATGGGTTCACGTAAGGTGACCCTGGTCGCTGTACCAAACTATTAAATGTGTGCACTTTACCGGTGGCCGGTGGGCAGTCGTGAACTCAAATAATACTATTAACAACGTGTACGTGTACACATCATGAGAACAATATGAGATGGCTCTAGTTATTAATGCATATAAATACAACACAAATGTATCTATAGAGAGATGTACGACGCGTATGTATATCAGTATGTACATGCATATATAATACATGTGTATATATGTATTTAGATAGTGGTGAGCGTACACGCGTATGTATATCAGTATATACAAGTATATACGTTACGTACATAGTTATGTACACACATTCATTACTTTAGCACAATATAAATA